CGTCAGCTTCACCTTTCACCTCTCCTGTCCTTGTTCCGGCTGCATCGCCCACGGCTCTTCCTACTGCCGTCACCCCTGCGCCGACGACCACTCCGGCCACCACATTTGCCACGGTCACGACCGATGACGATGACTCCTTCATCACAGCAAACCCTTATCCGCCCATGACGACGCATTGGAACCGGCCCATGAGTTGCACATGGACGTACGTCTACGACAGCGATCTACCGGCCGGCGTCTCGGAGCCGATTGCGTATCTGGATCTGGAGCCCCTTCCCGGCGCTTCGACCCTGTCGTGTTATCCCGATGGCATGTTTTACGATGGACGCACCGGCGTCTTCAGCCCTGCTACGTGCCCGCATGGATGGACGACGGTGTCTCTCGCGGTCAACACGGACCAGAGCGCGGATGAGGCAACCACCACTGCCCTGTGCTGCTCGTCGTATGTTTTGACGGGAGCCCTTCTATATCTGCAACGACGTATGCTAACCTCACTTCAACAGCGAATACTACTATGCCGGTGGCCATTGCAGGCGCCAGGTCCCTACGGTGCTGGCAGTCCCCATTATCTACAACCACACAGCCGCCACCTACGACGTCTTGACCAACTCAACCACCACGCTCTACAGCGCCACCATTGCCGTCAACACCATCCGTGCGCTCTTCAGGGAAGAAGACAAGCCGCTGCTGGGCCTGACAAACGAGGACGACATCGACGACGAACCGGAGGACGACCGCGGGCTGTCGCTGGGCGCCAAGATCGGCATCGGGGTTGGTGTCGCCCTCTTCGGCCTCTTCGCCCTGGGCGCGGGCATCTTTCTCTACTTGTGGGGGCGAGAGCGCAGGAGGAAGCGTTGCACGGGTCAGACGTCGCACGAGCTTGGCGTCGTGCAGCGGACACAGGGACAAATGTACGGCACCAGCCCGCATCCGCGAGACCGGGCACGCGATGCCGAGCCGCCGCCGGCTTACGACTTCACGCCCGAAACCGGCAGCATTGCGGATGGTCATGCTGGCGAGACTGTGTCCGTGGCTCGAGACGGCGAGATTCAGGTCCTGATGGCCCAGAAGGCGGCTATTCAGCGGCGGATCGAAGAGTTGGAGAGGGCGTCGGGGGAGGAGAGTCGGGATGAACCTCGCGAGAGGTGATACCATTGTTTTCTTTTTGTTTTTTTTCTACGGCTTACTTGATCTGTCCTAGAAAAGGACTATCCTATGATACCACTTTACGACAAAAAAAACAAGG